ATAAAAATCTTTTAAATTTTAAACTTTCAAAAGTATAGGCAAATTATATACTAGTTTAATAATATATGATACATCTATAATCTTATATAATATTATATAATAATGTTCTATTCTTTAATAATATAATATAGTCGAGCCGAAAATTGTCTAGTGTGGCCCTCATCCTACGCTGCACGTCGTGTCATTATTATTGAAATATATAGATACGCGCGGTGACGCACGACGAACCGAAATGAAATTGCTACGTATGACGTACGTATATTATAATATTATTGTACATATATTATAGTATTATGGATGTAGGTAGTACACGTCCCACACATAGCACCGAAAATGAAAACTTTACTGATTACTAAATAACGTATTGATTCACGCGTTTCCGATCTATACTACTAGAAGTCCTAAGGGATGTATCGTATACATTAAAATAAAAAAATTACATCGTGAGGTCAATATAATAATGGTTGTGGCTTAACGCATCGTTCGTCAGAGTAGGTATAACATTTATACAGTGACAGGATATGAACAAATTCAGGCCAGGAGAACTATTTTCCAGCCCTCGAGTTTGTTTCATACTAGATATGGAATTTAATAGATCACGTTGCCCCTAAAATTAGAAATTATTAAACATTAGTCCCTACACCTATGTGTGTTAGACCTGCGGTGTGTCTCGTCATAAGTCTTAAATAATACCTATATACATAATATATACCTAATCACGTGACATCATTCCTTATTGACATACCGGCCGATAATAATTTTTGGGCGACAACATATTGTTTAAATCATGATTATGGCGGCACACAATGTATTCCGTTTCATGCGAGCTGCCAATTTCAATGTTGTACTCACAAGACTATTCCGTTAAGTACGTTTTTTTTTACGATTTTTAAATCTTCATAGTCCCCATATCTTTCAAACCTATTATTATTGATCTATCATGCTCACATATATAAGTACACAATGTGAAATAATTCAAAAACTACTCGTTAAAATTTCGATATATGCATCAACAGTTTAAAATTTTTTTATCTTATCGACAATTTCATGTAAAAGCGTGATTCTCATTTGAAAAAAGATTACTATAAAAAGTATAACTAAAAATTCGAAAAATTANTAAACATTAAAAGAAATTACTTATATTTTGCACTCAACAAAAACAGAAAGTAATAATACATTAATAAAAACCTAGGTATATAGGTTATTGGTAGGTAATTAGGTATATTATAGTGTTTTTATTTAATCAATCACTTTAACACATCAATATACATTTTTCTCTACAGCTACCAACAGAAATGCCACTATAATATTATATAATACATTTGTGTTAATAGCTCACTACCTACTACCTGCTACGGCCCGCTCGGAAAACACTAGATATCCCACCGGCATAGTCCATCAATCACCAATGTATATTATATTATATCATAAGACGATCAAGTACGTTTTACAAATTGTAATGTTATTTTGTAGTTTTTAAATTGCACATAGAGGACACCCGCATAATAAAACAACAGCTGTTTTAATGTTTAATGTAGCTCAATAGTTTAACGCAAGCTCATGTTGTATTATACAGGGTGTCCAAATATATGGTGGAAGAGTAGACTACCAAACGTTAAACAAACATATATATTATGTATAATATTTTAACCTAAAGATATAACTATAAAATCAAACTATACGCACACGAACATGACGACAAAACTTGTCATAAGAGTTTCATCACAATTTGTTAAAAGTATTATTCATACGTTTAGACGTTTGGTCAACCCTTTACTGAATGCCACCGTGTATTGAAAACTCGGGATGACCGTCAAGTAAAGCTTCACTAGAGCACACACACCTGCGCAACAGGTGCAAACGTACAACGAGTGTTCGAAATTTAGAATATATAACTACATAAGTGTAAAAAAAATACTGCTACGACACATTTACTATGGTTTATTTTACAAAATGTTCACTTCATAATAATATATTATGTTTATCGTATCTCGCATTAGTCTTGTTTATATAATATAATATAAATCATCAATCTATCGTAACTTATTGGTTTTTATAAAACTGTGCATACTAATATAAACTATGTATATTATAACTATAAATTAAATAATGAGCATTAGAATTACTAAAAATTATTTTTTTTCCCAAGGAAAGAAAAAATTAAAAATTAACACGTTAGCAACGTTGCAGATCATCCCTGTCTTATAAGAATATACATTAAACGCATATAATCTAATGATTATAATAATAATAACTACAGAAATATTATGTTAATTACGTAATATTATGTGCGAACCGGCGATGTAATAAATTGGGTTCGCTTAAAGAAATTTGAATTTTAAAAATTTTTTATTTTACACTGCCGATAAGTTTTTTAAATAAACCTAACCTACCTGAAACAAGAAGAGTATTTTATGAGTTATAAGTGAATTTAAAGTTTTTATAAGTTGAGTAGAGTGTCATTTAGGTAGGTACCCAAAAATATCGAGGTACACAACTCTGTCTAACATCTTGGAATATGAAATTAAAAATGGGTTATTGTTATTCAAAAAAGTAATAAAACTTTAAATACAATGTTTTTTTAAACTATTGTTTGGAAACGACATAAAATTATGTAAAATAAATATTTTTAAACATTTTAAACGTTTTTCAAACAATGAATGTTCTTCGATAAAATAGTTTTCACACGATAACCATGTACCGTGTTCGGTATAGCGAAATGTAGAATAGCGGTTTTTTATAGTTTCCTATAATTATCAAATTGCGTAATACCTGTCACAATACCTAACCAGATTGATCTGCCGAGACCCCACAAAAAAATTATGATTTTGTCCCCACACGAAATATAATAAACTGTAAGTATAAGTACGGTGTTGTCATTAACCTTTGAGTTGGGCGGTGGTTCGGGCACATCCGAGTCCCACTCGGAGCTCAGGTCGTCGCTGGACGCCTCTCCGTACTCGGCGTGTGGCCACGGCACTTCCAACAGAGACTTCTGGTACTGTTCGTAGCCGGGCGCCGCTGAAGTCGAACCGGTGGTACCAACGGTGCTGCAGGTGGTCATCACAGTATTGGAGGTAGCTGTAGTCCGCAACAGCAGTGCCGCCGCCGCTGCTGCAGCGGATCCGGCGGCCGGACTCGATGCCCGCCTCATCCGGCTGCTTCGACCTTTGGCTGGCCTGGGGCCCCTGTGCCAAACACAACTATACCCTTGCCGTACTATACACTCAGTACTAGGGCGACGGGGCGGGGCAGCGCACAGTTTTCGAAATACCAATGGAATGTAAAAAGATAAAATACGATCAGAAATCTTTGCACACCCCATCAGCCGCCGGAGCGGTAGTTAAGACTGTTTCGAAAATTCGTGCCTCCCGCCGCGCCGAAGTACCTATCTATGAGCTATATATTATTTTATATACGACATAATCTAGCAAATGCTTGACAGAATATTAGATGCGTTCGATATGTGCGTGTGTCTGGGATATAGTCAATAACGTATAATAATGTATTATACATGTGTTAATAAATGTACAGTGTACGAAAAAGAAACATTATGACTTATTCATTATATTATAATATATTATAACACCATGCCGTAATTAATGCGTTTAATATTTATAATAATACAATATAGAACCTTATACGCGTTTCGCAGTCGATTTGTGTGATTATTTTGAGGTATTTGTACTATACGAATTATTATAATAATCACACCTGTTCGTTCCCAAGTCGAGATGAGAGCGGTCTAGATATAATATAGTCGGGGTCGGTGCCGGCCGGTACGGG